TTGTCACATGGTGTAACTCAATGTCTCCCTTAGTCACAAGGTCTCTAATGAAGTGATGCCTAATATCAATGTGCTTAGTCCTTGAATGTTGGATCCTCACAAGCTCCCCCTCACAAGTTCCTCTCTCTCTCTCTCCCTCTCTCTCTCTCACTCGTTTAGGTTTTCTCAGGTCAAGACAGCAGCCAAGGATGTTCAAAAACGTTGAACAAGAGCTCTTAAATAGAAGAGCTTCAAAGGAGATCATTAATTGCAAGTTGCTGACTATACGTCCAGGACGATATGGAAATCGTCCTGGCCGATCAGTATAAATCCCATGAGATCGGCCAGAGCATGTTGAACAAGAGCTCTTAAATAGAAGAGCTTCAAAGGAGATCATTAATTGCAAGTTGCTGACTATACGTCCAAGACGATATGCAAATCGTCCTGGCTGATCAGTATAAATCCCATGAGATCGGCCAGAGCATCACCCTAAATGCAAACTGGACGATTGAAAATTGGCTTGATCATCCAAGATAATCTCACGATCATCCAGGACGATCAGTTCAAATCAGAGGAAAATTGTCCAAAGCATCGCTCTAAATTCAAGCTGTCCAATCTAGATCATCTAACACATCGCCCTGAATTTGTATTGGCCGTTATTTATTTTCCAGGAGCAACTAAGGATTTTAGAATAGATCATCTTGGCCGATCTTGAGATCATCTAGAATGATATGATCGTATAAATCATCCTTTATTACCTCCTTGATTGTCTGATCAATTAAGGAATAATTGTGAATATCGTCCAGGTCGATCAGAGATCGTCCTGGCAGATTACCAAAAGTATAGAATACCTTAATTATTTATGGCGGTAATGTCTTTCTGTTTTGAGCCTATCGTCCTGGTCGATACAAGTATCGTTCAGGCCGATTTGCTAATGACTGCTGCCTTAATTAAGAACCCCTGATTAGATTTTATGTTTTAAGCTAGATCGTCCAGGACGATGTAAATATCGTCCGGGCCAATATTAGTAAAAATAGTAATACAAATCACTCAAGTGTGTGTGTGTAGGGTTACTTTGCATCAGTCACACCAAAGATTATAATTGACTCAAGAAGGAAAAAAATAAAATTACATACTGACTCAACCCTAATATACCCATTCTTTGAGCTAACTCTGTTTTTCCGTCCGATCTTTGATTCCTAAAAAGTCAGTAGTAAAAGACAGTCCAAGACAAGTAAGAGTGTTTGCCAATCATCAAAACATAGTTCATAGACCTGAATTTGCAACAATCTGGACATAATTCTCTTTGCTTCCATGACCTATAGATTGATAGCTTATGTCTAATAGGTTGTTAGCACATAGAAGATTATTCACATGTTGTTGTTATCCTCTATAAGAAACTTCAGGAGGTAATATCTATATTTAATAGGTGGGGTATTAAAATTATTATTTTTCTTTCATTCATTGAATGTTTGGTAGAATTGGTGATTATGGCTAAAGATAATCCAAATATGGTGATGATGTATTGTAGTTCTATTTTGTAATCATGGAAAGCTAGAAAAGATTCAAAACACGGAGGTGTGGTGGCTTCAAAAGTAATTATGCTGCTAATGTTCTAGCAATGATATATAAATAATATTATAATCCTGTATTAGAGAACTAGGATGCTCAATAGTATGACGAAGTGAATCAAAAAATTTTTCCTCACCCCCTCCCCCACCCCCCCTCTAGTATAGCTAGAATTCGAGGTGTAATTGGAGATCATAGAGGAATAATTTTGTTAGGCTTTGGCAAGAAAGCACAACATTGTGATAGTTCTCAACTAGAATTAAAGGTGATTTATGTTATTAAAGATGATTTCTTTTATTAGATGCTTTATAAGAAAGGAATAATGAGAGAAAGATATAATGCCAACATTATCAAGAGACTTCAAAAGGTTTTGGAAATAATTAAATGAAAAAATGAAGATTATTACAAGAATGAACAATCTTTTTTTAAAAAATTCAATAATGTCATTTTACATTATGCTAATTGGGATTGTACTAAAGTGTTCGACTGTTGTGCCTCTTTTGATATGATAGGAATTTTTTTGGAAAATATTTTAAATAATAACATTCTTTCTCATATCTTACTTTTAATAAAGAAAGAATGTGATGGAGCTTCTATCTTGCAGTAGTTTGTAATAATTTTATTTTAATGCATTTTGCAATGTTTCAAAAAATATAAAGAGATATAGAAAATATATTTTGAATGAACTTCGCCAAAGTAATAAAATTTTATTTGAAATTGAAATTTGAGTGAGAAGAATGAAATTCTGAGAAGAGACCAATCCATCTATTTTGAATTTAAAACGTGTAGTTAGTTTACTTGGTCACATGTAAGACATTTTAGAATGGGGGGGGGGGGGTGGCTACATTTGGTCAGCTTTGGATGGTATTTCCTCTAGTTTGACACTTCATTAGTCAAAATAGGTTAATTATATGGAAAGCATGGGTAACTTCAAGGTAGAAGTGATGGTGGTGTCGGAGGGTCAGAAGTAGGTGGCGGAGCAGGCAGTTGGTGGTCAGAGAGAGGGACTTAAGTGGTGCTCCTCCTTAAGTCAATGGTGTAGGTTGGTAAGGGAAAGTAGATTTATTTAGAAGAGTTTAGAGAGGGGTTGGTTATTTCTGGTTGATTATTTGTAGGTCTCTTAGAAGGATAATGAGATTTTTCTTTTTTTGTATCGAGGAATCTCCTCTATTATAAATGGTTTAAAAGAGAACCTGCTAAAAAGTGCTAGAGATGTTGCCGCTAAAAGTGATGGGGGATGCATTTTTAAATCTTTTAGTAGGATGAGTGGTGAAGATCAGGGGAGTAAGAGTAAAGTGCTAAATCAAATTTTTTATTAATTTAATGGAAATTAATTAAAAGAAGAAGACTATTTTATTTAGTAATTTGGATAAAGATAACTGTAAATTACATATAGTTTAATGTGTTTTATTCCAAGTAAAAAAATTTATTTTAGTAATTTATGAGCAAAAAATTTAAAAACTGGCAAAAATTCTAAGGAGCTCATAAAGCCATGGCATCTAATGATACATTTCCAAAACACTAGCTTCAATATCATGGGGTACTCAAATGTTGACATGGAGGTGCTGAGTTCTCTATTTTAAAGTACTAAGGTGGCAACACAAATAGTGCCAAAAAATTGTCAGTACTGTAGCATCAAAAAGTCATCATGGAAGTGTTGTAATCTCTATTTTAAATATCACAACACCATAATTTCACACGCCTTGGTGCCATTTTTTCATATTAGGGGTTGTAGTGGTCCAATATTTATGCACCATTGCATTGTAGTTGTAACTTTTAAGGGACATGTTCAATTGGTGAAGAGATTTGATTATTCACTAAGTAATAGATCCACTTTAGAAAGCACCATGGATGTGTAAAACCATTAGCACTAAGGTGTTAATACACTTCAGGGGCCCCGCAGTGCCACAATTTTGAGTGCCATAATTATAGTTTCCATTTTTATATTTTTCTATAAATAGATGTTGTGTAATGTTTGTAAGGGAGTTCAATCACTTATATAATTTTTGTAATGGGGGGTGAAGGAGATTCTTTAATCCTATCTACTGATATCGTTCTCTTATATTTTTAGTTCTTCCATATGTTTAATGAAAATATGTTTGCTTGTTATTTATTCCACCTCTGGCAAATTCTTGTGTTCAGAATTGATGATATAAAACAAATATTGAGTACTAATCAGGACTCATATTTTATAAATTGTTAAAATATGTTTTTAATATTATCCCACACTTTAATTAATGCATAGTGTTTATATGTATAGTTAAAACTTAGTTTGATGTATATCCTTGATGAAGGAATGAAAGAAGAATCAGGAGTCTTAGGATAAGATGTTTTGCATGCCTAGACAAACGATATAAAATATTCTAAATTTTTAAGGAGATAATATAATTGCTGGAGGTTAGTAGATATCCTTTTCACCCCTACAAGCTTGATAAAGTTCAAGGAATACATATGCACTAAATCACGTTACTATTAAGAGTCTAATTAGGAAAGATGTGTAATTTATAGTCATCAATCCAAAGCACTTTAATAAAATATTTTATCAAATATTTTTACTTTTTTTTTTGTGATAGAATCTCAAAAATTATCTTTTTTTATCTCAGTAAGATAATTACTATAGTAGTTTATTGAAAGTATAGCAAACTTTCTCGTGGGTTTAATTTTCTACTTTATCACTTTATTACTTTATTCAACCCATTTACTTTTGTACATTAAGTGGGATTTATTATTATTTATATCAAAGAAAACTTAAGCAATATTTAGCGGTGATAGAGCAATAGATTTTTAAACAATTTAAAAGTTCACTCCATAGTCCCTATCATGTTCTTCAAGCCATTTCCGGGGATGTATTTTGCTTTTTATAGATTTTAACCATATTTTTGAAATAACTACATAATTAGAAATGTATCTTTTTATTTATTTATTTATTTATTTTGTATAATGATTGCATATTTATAGTTGTATGCTTTATAAACAATGAAAGAAACATTTGTTATTTAATGCTAAAATAGACAAAAAAAACCCTTTCAAAAATTCAAAATAATAAAAGGCTAGCGAAGATGGCTGAACTTGTATTAGATCAAGATCCATCTAGACCATTAAATGATTAAGCTAACCATTTAGTAGATGAAATTCATTTGAGAATTAATAGACCTACAATCCAAGCTATTAATTTTTAATTAAAACCTGACATAATTCAAATTGTTCAAAATTTTTAATTTTGGGGACTCCTATTGAAGTTCCCAATTTACACATAGCCAGTTTCTTTGAAATTTGTGTGACATTTAAGTATAATAGTGTCAATGATGATGCTATTAGACAAAGATAGTTTCTATTTTTTCTAAGAGATAAAGCTAAGATGTATTTGAATTCCTTACCCCAGGTTCTTAACCAATTCGAATGAGTTGGCTCATAATTTTCTTGCTAAGTATTTCCAACCTTCAAAGATTGCTAAACATAGAAATGATTTCTCTTCTTTTACTCAGTTTGAAGAAAAATCGATTTATGAAAGTTGGGACCGATTTAAGAAAATGCTTAGGAAATTCCCTCACCATGTTTTATGTGATTGGTTGGTTATTCAAATATTTTATAATGGATTATTATGCTCTCTCTGAGAAATAATGGAAGCTTCAGCTGGAGGATCATTAATATCAAAGCAATCTATGGAAGCATATGAATTAATAAAGGAGATGGATACTAATAATTTCTAATGTCCTAGTGAAAGAGTTAACCCTAAGAGAGTAGCAGGAGAATATGAATCTAATTTATTTTAAATTTTGATTGCACAAATAGTAATAATTTTTAAGATGTTAAGCACAATAGGAGAAAATCCAAAATTCCAAACTGAACTATCTATGTAATTAGAGGATAAAAAATTAATTAAAAATAATAATTATATCCAAGGAATTAAAAATATTTATTTAAATGGAAGAAAAAATAATCCCTCCACCAATATAAAAAAACTAGGTTGGACGAACCATCCAAATTTAACTTGGTCAAATAATATTGATGTGAACAACCAATAGAATTCTAGTTAAAATAATTAAGTAAATTGGAATAATACTCAACAAACAATCATTAATCCTAAAGCTACATATAATTAATGATTTAATCAAATAAATCAATTTGGAAGTAGAAAGTAACCATTAGAAGATGTAGTGATGAAATTAGGAACTCTATATCAAAATGAAGCTAAATCTATTAAAATTAGGAAACCGAAATAAGACATCTTACTATTTCAATCGACAGTATACCTCTAGGATCATTGCCTAGTAATACTGAATTAACCCAAATGAAAAAGAAAATGATCCAAGTGATAATCATTTGAGGATTGGTAGTAACGTGTCTAAGTCAAATTAAAAAAATATTGGAAAGCCTCGCTGAAGACTCTAAACCTAGCGTTGTATGGGAGACAACCTAGCTTTATGTTTGCATGGTAGATGACATTTAGTAGTAGGAATTATTATTAAAAATTATCCAAAGAATGAGAAAGGAGCGCCAAAGCAATTCTTGTAGCATAGCTGCGCTTAGGCATGTTGTAAATTTTTAAAATTAAAATTTTGGTGCTTCTACGCCTGTGAAAATTATATAAAGGGTAAGTTGAACATTTGATTTTTTTATCCACATCAATTCTTCTTAAGTGTAGCCTTTGAAAGTGTCTTCTTCTACTTTCTTTAAATCTAAAAGCAATGGGTGGATAGAAACAAAAGCATTAATCCTCAAAAAGAAGTGAAGTATGCCTAAAGAATGAAGATTCCATCCCTATTTTAACATCCAAAGTTCTACAATAATTGTTAAACATCAAGAATTCGGAAATGAAGTCTAGAAAGAAACAAATTGTATAATTTAAAAATGAAGTTGCTTGAATGTGAATTTCTATATGATTAATTTAATCCCAGTGAATATGAATTTTTTTTAATTATAGGAAGAAATACTGCCATGAAAAAATTAAATCCAAATGGATTAAAACATTTACTATTATTAATATGTATTCTAATTGTACCATACAAATTCAAGATAAGTAAACTTAATTTTTACATCTTCAAGATTAATGACCATATATTGAACCTTCATGGATGAAAAGATTTGGAAGAAGGAATATTTTGTAAATACATATAGGGAGTCTTTATTTTTTTTTTTATTGCATATATTTAGAGGAGATTTATTCTATGAAAAGGTTTTCATGTTTAGATTGAGGTAATGATTAGAGATATAATTATGAGAACCATTTTTGTATCATGGCGCCATTAGTGAACTAGTTATTTTATAACAAGTATTTTGTTTTAGTTAGATATCACACATTTTATGCTTTTTTATCATTTATGTGAAAACATGTGTTATTTACTAATGTTTATGTGTGTCATTATTTATAATTATCAAATTCCCTTTATGCCCACTTTTTTTTTGCATTGTCTTCCATTTATTTATCTGCATTCTAATTATTTAATTATCCCTAATAAATATGATAATTAAAAAATTATGTAAAATTAGGATAATAATTAACCCTATATCATAATTCAAATGAACATTACTTTATACTTCATAGATTAAAAAAAACTAATAACTGCCTAACTTAGATCATTTAAGTTATTGAATTAACTTCGATTTATAAGTTATACCTTTATACACTTAAATTTGAAATAAAAATGAATAGTTAAGGTTAGAGAATATATATGGGTAGATAAAAATTGAAAGCAACCAAAATTTGAGATTAATGAACCTACTAAATCCTTATATGAACTCATTAAGATTGTAACATGATTTTTAAGAAAATTTTAATATTCAAAATCATTACTATGTACTCGCAAAAGTAAAAAGTAAATAGTTGTTGAAAAGTGTTCTAAAAAAAATAAATGAAATGAAAAAAAAAAGGAAAAAGTACATTAAAAAATTGGGATCAGTTAAAAGTTTTGCATCTAACTATAATCTTATACTTAAATTCACAAAGGACAAGTTGGGAGAACTAATACAAATAATTATGAACTTATGAAAATTAAATTTTAACTACAAACAAATCTAATATTTAAACTAAATTATTAACTTGAAAATTTCCAATGTCAGTAATTAAATCTATAGCATTTAAATTCAAATTTAGCAAAAATAAGAATGATTGATTAGAATAATTATTATTATTATTTCAAACACAAATTGGAACCTTGTTCATTTTCTCTATTTCTAGACTATGATGTATCATCCTATATTTTGATAATTTTAAAATGTTAATTTTTATTTTGGTTATTTGATTAATCAAAAATATATATTTTCTTATTTTTTTAAGAATAAGCAAGAATTTAAGATGTGGAGAGTTTTATAAGTGCAAATTACATATAATTTAATGTATTTTTTTTTCAATAAAAATATACTATTTTAGTTATTTATATGTAGGAAAAACTAAAAAATAGGAAAAAAATGTAAGTTGTTCATGGCATTAAGGTGTCTGATGATACTATGTAATAACATTACCTTTAATACTACTAGGTGCTCAAATTATAATATGGTGTCGCGTAGTTCTCTATTTTCAAGTGCTAAGGTAGCAACACAGTATTATCAGCATCACGATGTCCTAAAATCATCTTGGGGGTGCTAGAATCTTTGTTTTAAATGCAGCACAGCCATAATGTTTTACACCATGGCACCATTTTTGCACTTTGGGCATTACAGCGCTTTAATGTCCTTAGTACCATGGTATTGCAATTAAAACTTTTATAGGATATGTTCTATCAATGAAGAAATGCAACTATTCATTAGGTAACCAATCCACATTTTCAAGCATCACGGTAAAACCTTCAGCACTGAGGTGCTAATTTACTTCAAGGGCATCCGAGTGCCATTATTTCAAGTACTGTAATACTAGTTGCTATTTTTATGCTTTTCTATAAATAGATGTTGTGTATGATTATAAGAGAGTTCAATCACTTATGGAACTTTAATACTTTTTAAATTACTTCTCTAGTTCCCTCATATATTAAAATCTAATAGAGGCAAGGAAGTACAAGCTACAATCATTTGGAGTGTTTATCCTATATTTCTTGAAGAAACTCTATAAGTTAAAGGGAGAAGGAGTATAGGGAGATATTGTGATCCTTCCTGGTAATATCACTCTCTTATATTTTCTATTCCTCCATGGGTTTATTAAAAATAAGATTTCTTATTATTCATTCCATGTATGGCTAATTCTCTTATTTTGGATTGATAATATAAAATGGATGTTGAGTACTAATGAAAACCCTTGTTCTATAATTTGTTAAAAGATGTTTCCAATATTATCCTCCTCTTTATATAATGTACATAGTGCCCATATGTGTAGTTAAAATATAGTGTGATGTACAACCTCGACGGAGGAATGCAAGAACAACTAGGAGTATTGGGATAAGAAGTTTTACATGCCCAAATATAGGATGTAAAATAATTTAAGTTCTTGAGAAGATATTATAACTATAGGTGGTCAACATATATCCTTTCCATTCCTATAAGTTTGACAGAGATCAAGTTAAGTATATGCTCTTAATCAAATTACTATGAAGAGTCCAATTAGGAATGATATAAAACTTTTTATCATCAAATGAAACACTTTAATTAAATATTATGTCAAATATTTCTATTAATTTATTTAGTGACAAAATCACTAAAAACATTATTTTTAAATTAATGAGATAATTTTTATAATTAGATGAAATAATAATTGTTTGCTGCAAGTAAAGCACACTTCCTTGTGAGTTCGATACTCTACTATATCACTTTATTACTGATTTAATATGTATGCTTGTGTATATTAAGTATCATTTATTATTATTTATATCAAAGAAAACCTAAGCATTGTTTAGGGTGATAGAGCTCAAGATTTTTATAAAATTCAATAGTTCACTCCATAGCCCTCATCAAAAACCCCTAGAAGTATTTATTAAAATGTTGTTATAAAGAACTGATATTCATGAACTAGGGTGGCATGGAAGTTAAAAAATCATTTGATGTCCTTAGAAAAAAAAACCAGTTCATCATCAAGTAATCAATTATGAAGTGTTTATTGATTATTTGTTGGCAGTTCGATAGTAAAGCTGCACTTGGAATATGAATTGGCAAACATGATGAACTTGGAGAATGCTCTTATTACTATAATCTTTGGTAGAAGGCTTCCTTAACATATTCTAAATATTGAATTGAAGAGATATTGGGGGTGTTTTGGTGCATTCTAATTAACATATATTGGAATGGACAAGATTTTGTGTACATTCTATTCAAAAGAAGTAGTTGATGGTATCTTAAGTGGTAGGTTGGGGTATTTAGGAGGTCATATAATAGAAATTGATAAGTGGACACCTATATTCTCTTGGATTTCTACAAAGTGACTTATTTCTCCAGTATGGATATGACTTCCTCACTTTCCTCTTCAATTTTGTGATAAGAGAAATGTTGTTAAGATTCCTTTAAGAATTAGCTTCCAATGCTTTTGGATGCTCGAACTACTAATTGGTGAAGAAGACTGTTTTCATTAGTTTGTGTTTGTATTAACCTTCAATTTTAATTTCCACCTACATTGGGTGTAAGGATTTAATGGAAGAT